CACCATGGCAACAGGGGCAGAGGGACCAGTCGGCAGAACTTGAGTCACCATCTACCTGGGGTGGAGTTGAGATCCAGAGGGGGCGCAGGGGATGCAAAGGAAACAGGTAGCCCCATCCTCAGCTCACAGTTGGGTGGGGAACCCTCCTCCGTGGGTTGCCCAGGGGTTTGGGAGGCTGGTAGGCTTCATCTTTTTATCTCATCTGTCTTGTATCTGACAGTATCTTCCCTGGCTCTTCTCTTGCCCTAGGGCTCCTATCTCCTGCAGAAGAAAAACCAAGCCTCTGTCAGTAACAAAGGTTAACTTATTTGCCCAGAATCATGCAAGTTGTGATCTAGAATTTGACCTCGTATTATACTGCTTAATTTAAAAGCTTTAGAGTTTTGTTTTTTTGGGGTTTTTTTGCTAGAGAATCCAAGTTTGTTTCGTTTTAAATAGACTTTTTTAGAGCAGTTTTAAGTTCACAGCAAAACTGAACAGAAGGTACAGAGATTTCCCATAGTCCTTTCAGTTTTAATAATTTTCTTCATCAGACAGCTAATGCTTTCCAAAACATTCTTGCATCTGAATCATTATCTCATCCTCCAACCACCCTATGAGTTGGTAATTCGGGGATGAATGACCCATTTTATACATGAGGACACCAGACAGAGTCCAGAGAGGGCAAGTGACTTATTCCATGTCACATAGCTGATTAGTGCCAGAGCTGGGCCTCCAACCCTGGCCTCCTGAATCCCTACCAGGGCTCTACTTCCAAACCATTGCCTTTTCCATTCCTCATGCTCCACGAGGGTTGGAGGACTGCTCTGAGGGGTCCTCTCATAAGCCTTGTGAAGAGTGCTAAGTAGAATCAGGCATTCCAGTGTTTCCAATATGGACCAACGGGTTCACACTGTAAACCGAGTCCCGGCCAGGCAGCTCCTAAATGTGGCTCCAACCCCCAGGAATGGTCCGAGTCTTACTCAAACCTTGCTCTCCACACTCTACGCCCCCCACCCCAACCCCCGACAGCATATGGAGAGGTAAGGAAATACTCGGCGAACTGAACCATTGATCGGTTCTGTTGTTCCGCGCTGTGCTGCGCATGCGCAATCTCATCGACCCCACCCCACCCCCAAACAGCGCAACTTTAGACTTTTGGTTTTCATTGTGCGCAGTCTGCAGATGCAGAAGCTGGTGCTCAGCGAGGTTAGGTAGCGCACCAAAGTCACACAGCTACCCAGCAGTGCAGCCAGAATTTCAACATGAGCCCACCTGGCTGGAGAGCTGCCTGGTTTGGACAGTGGCGATGCGCTCTCCGCCCCCCCAGAACGCGGCACGGTAGCTTGAAGAGACATCTGATAGCAGATTCTTTTGCTCTTGGCTGTGCAGTTTTCTCTCAGTTGAGGCTGTGGCTTTACCCAGTTTTTGGCACTGGAGAAAGCAGGCTCGGAGGATCTGCTTTGTGTTAGGGACCCGAAAATCCTTGGCCCCTGAGGAGTGACTCAGTGTCCCCGACCCTGTCTGCCGTTGCCTAGATCCTCAGCTTTGTGATCTTTCAGGAGAACATGGCCAGGCGGCTGGTGATCGGCAACGGAGGGAGAAAGCCAGTGATGTCCTTGGTCTGAATCCGAGCCCTGCTGAAAATGAATGTTTTGGCAATTTCCTTTCATTCCTGCTCAAATTGGGCTCCCTGAAGCTCTTGCCCATGAGAGAAGCCTGGACACCTGGCCTTACCTTCCTGACCTCCCAGGGGCATTGGTTTTGGAGGACACAGCCAAGTGGGAGCTCACACCTACAACTCTGCCCCCCCCCCCCCGAAGTGCCACACCAGCAAGGGGCAGGCACATGATTTCACCACCATCACCAACTGGGGGCATCTTCCTTGTGTCAGACCCCACACAGGTGCTAGGGAGATGGTAGGGAACAAACCATTATGGACCCTGGCCTCATGGAAACTGCTGTCCCATGGAGGAAAAGAACAAGTCCGTGAATGAATACATCATGATTTCAGACGGTGACACATGCCCAGGACAGGATGAAACAGGATAATGGAGTAGAGAGCAACTGGTGGGGAGTGTGCTGTTTTAGCCAGGATGATCGGGAAAGGACTCTCAGAGGAGATGACCTCTGAGCAGGTACTTGAATGAAGACGAGTTTGTTATGGATGTCCACATTACAAACACAAACTGTGTGACAAACCCCCAAACTTAGTGGCTTATAACAACCATTTATTATTTCTCATGAGTCTATCCTTGGCCTGGGTGGTTTCTCTGCTTGTTTCTCCTGCATGCAGCTGGAGGCACAGCTGGGCTGGAAGGTCCAAGAACACCTCACTCAGCCTTCTAGCAGTTGGTATCGGTTGTTGGCTAGAGCACCTCAGCTCCCTGAGGCACAGCTTCTCATCCTGCAGTTGGCCTTACATGGTGATTGAGGGGCAGCATTCTAAGAGGGGGAAGGCGAAAGCTGCACTGTCTCTTTAGGCTTAGGCTCTGAACTCATAAAATGTCTCTTCTGCCACATTCTGTTGTCAAAGCAAGTCACAGGGCCAGCCTGGATTCAAGGGCTCGGGAGAGACGCCACCTCTTGATGGGGTGAGTGGCAAAGTATATGTGGTCATCTTTAATCTCCTATCTTCCCAGAAGATCCAAGGGAAGATCTTTTGGGAAGAGTGCTTTGGGCAGAGGGAAGAGCAGGTGAAAAGGCCCTGAGGTAGGATGGAGTCCAGAGACCTGAACCACAAACATTTGGTTCTACCACTTCCTTTGTTTGCTGTTCTGTCAGGTGGGAATGAGAGATGCTTCCCTGTCTCCTTTATAGGCATAGAGGACGCAGGAGGCTTTGCTTCAGGGAGGGGTTAGGATTTGGTTCCTGACCTCTGAGTAAGGGGAGAATCAGACACAGGAGCTTGGTTTGGTATCCTCCAAACTCATTGGCATTTTTTGACCACCCTCTGGCAGGAAGGTACCGTGCTGGGCACTGCAGGTCACAGGATAGTCTGAGGGGTGCTGCTCTTGCTGAGTTTATGGGATGAAAAGATTGCTCGCTACACTGGAGAATGACTGAACTGGCAGGATCGGGTCCTGAGGAGGCCTAGAGGAGGTTAGATTCCAACAGGATCTTGGGAGGCATGTAGGATTTAGCTGAAGGAGGGAAACTATTGGTAGCAGAGGTGCGAGGGCCTGTGGAATTTAGCAATCCAATGTAATAAATGTTTGATGAGCCTCTCCTCTGCACCAAGTGAATGAGACAGGCAGAGGACCTTCCCCAGGCACAGTGGGAACCCAGGGGTGGTACCATCTAGGCTTGGAGAGCCAAGAAGCCTTCCAGGAGAAAACAGCAAGGCTTCAGAAGCCTGAGGATGGGTCAGATGAAGCACAGTGGGGCAGTGACAGGAGGAAGAGGTATGGAGAAGGTCCCAGTGAAAAGGATAGCATCTACAAGGGCAGAGGAGAGGGAGAGCTTGAAATTCTCAAGAAAAGCCAACAAGCTGTGTCTGAAGCAGGGAGTTCATGTGCAAGAGAGGGAAAGGATGAGCTTGGGGCTACAATGGGCCTCGTGGGCCAGTGAAAGACTCTGACCTTTTTCCTGAAGGCTGTTTGTGTTGGATTACCAGATTTAGCAAATGAAAATACAGGTTGTCCTGTTAACTTGGAATTTCAGATAAACAATGAAGAATTTTTTAAAAAGATTTTATGTATTTGAGAGAGAGAGAGATAGTGAGAGGGAGAGCACAAACAAGGTGGGGGGTGGAGAGGGAATGTGAGGATCGATCCCAGGACCCTAGGATCATGACCTGAGCTGAAGGTAGACACTTAACTGACTGAGCCACCCAGGCACCCCAAACAATGAAGAAATTTTTTTAGTGTAATCATGTGCAGGTGATACTTGGAACATTCATATACTGAAAAATCATTTGTTCTTTATCTGAAATTCAGTTTTAACCAGGCCTCCTGTATTTTCTCTGGCAACCCTAAGTATGGGACCACAGAAGGATTTTAAGCAGGGGATGCCATGGTTGGATTTATGCTTTGGGAAGCTCCCAGGATTTTCAGGGAAACATATGGGAAGGAGACCAGGAAGGGGTGGAGGATGAAGGTCCTGCTTTGTCTAGCCCCCATCAGGGAATGGGGGCATATCCTCAACATCACTGGTGGGGAAGGCAGGTGGGCAACTGAAGACCAGGTCAGACCCCAGCTCTGCTGTGTGAGCCTCTGCTCCCTCCTGGGCCCTCGGCATCCTCGTCTGTCTGGTGAAGGGGTTAGGCCATCAGAAGAGAGGGTCCACAAGTGTCCCTCTCTTCTGGCCATGCTGGCCAGTGAATGTGTGAAGTATCTTCAGTTCTCCTCACTCCAGCCTAGGTCCTGCACCTGGTTTGGGAGAAGTATTTACCGAGTTCCTAGTATGTGCTGAGAGGGGTCCTCTATCTAGATCACTTGTTTTATTTAATCCTCTCACAACAGCCCTTCAAGGAAGGTACCATGTCCATTTCATAGGTTGGAGAACGGAGGCTCGATGGTGCAGTTGCTCCCCACTCACACAGCTGCACAGTGCAAATCTGGAGTGGAGTCTAGGTCCAGCTTGGTGCCAGTGCTCACCCTCCCACTGTATCCAGGAAATCTCCCCGGGAGCCCCTAATCCCCCATATGTTTACCACTTGTGCTCAGTCAGTAGTCTCCTTGTCCCCTTGCACGCACACGCTGCCCTGGCTCTTTCTGAGTTAAGCCAGGGACTAAAATGGGCCAGTGTAATGCTCCTCTGCTGGGGGCTTTCCGGTTTACACACCCCTTTTCCATCTGTGCACTGCCTACAACTCAATGGAGACATGGCACAGCCCCCTCCGGCTCTTCTAGCCTGCAGCTCTGCCTCAGTGGAGTCCACATTTAATATTAACAGGACAGCTCCTGGTGCTGCTGTGACATCAGTTACTTGGCTGCTGGGTGAGGGCTGTGGCTGCCTTTCCAAGGTGAAACAGTGACTGGAATTCAGCTGGCTCAAATGGCATCCCAGGGGGTTGACTGTCAAGACTCAGAAATGATGCTGCTAATGTAAGGCATGGCGGGAGTCCAAAAGTCTTCATCCCTTCTCCCCAGCTCCTCAGGGTCTGGGTGGCATTCTGATGCTGACATGATGCCTTCAGTCATTTGGCAAGTATTGACTGAGCACCTGCTATATTCCAAGCACGGTGCTAGGCTCTGGGGCTACAGCTGTAAGTGTGACAAAGTCCTTGCCTCTTGGAACTCCCCCTGCTGGCTGGTGGAGGAAGGGAGAAAATGTCTCAATGCAGAGGACCAGAGCAGGTGTCCATCCCAGCCTGAGGTCGAGGGATCTTTCCAGGGGAGCCAGAAACCTGACGAGGAGCCCGAGTAAGGCACAGAAAGAGGGGGGTAAGTGTTCCAGGCAGAGGGAACCGGATCAGAGCTCAGATCCTGGTTCCAACCCTTCCTAGCGATTTATCTGCAGATTACCTCACAGAGTTGCTATGAAGACTAAATGCAGCCAGGCTGGTGATAGCACAGGGCTTGGGGCATTGCGAGAGCTCAGGGGTAGCTGTTAGGAAAATAGCCCTGTGCCTTCATGTAATCCCTTTGTCCTGCCAGGAATCCTTGGGGAGTAGGGAAACTGCCGCTCAGAGGGGCTACAGGCCTGGGGTTATATTGTGGATTAGACTGCAGGCTAAACATAGGACCCCAGGCTCTGACTTGTGCTTAATGCCATTTGCCAGCCATTGGCAATGCAAGCAGTTGTCTCAGTTCAGTGAGATCACTCACCAGTGATCCCAGTGAGTTCCTCAGCTGCATTTCCAATGTCCATCTCTGCCTTTGAGGTAAGACTGCCTTGTCTTAAGGATAAACCCAGGTCTTGGCTTTGGGGGGACCTGGCATAGACCTGTTTCTGCTGCTAACCTGCTGTGTGACTGTGAGTGAATTACTTTCCCTCTCTGAGCCTCAGTGCCCCATAGTTATTACTGACTCACTGCTTGGGCTTCTGATCCTCTCAATAGAGCTATGGCAAAGGAATTATGTTTAATTCCATATTAAAATTGAGGAACCAGTCTGAGACAGGCAAAGTGACTTGCACGAGGCCACAGAGCAAGTGGACACTGGATTTGCAACCAGGCTCATCTGCTGTCTCTGAGAATGAGAAAACCAACCTGAGTTGTCTCTAAGACCCTCACTATAAGTCTGTGATCCTGTGAGTTCCCGGATGCTCTCAGACCTTTAGGGCCCACTGATTTCATGGGGAGGGCATTTCATGCTGGGCTGATCCTCCAACTGTCCCAGGAGGCAGCACCCACTCCCTCCCTTAGCACAACCTCATTCCTCCTGGCAGAAGCCCTGGGTGTCTAGGGTGAACAGCAAGCACTGTTGCAACAGGCCCATGTTATGGAGGAAGAAAGAAGCTCAGAGAGGTGCAGCCCCTTGCCCAGGCTTCCCCAGCTACTGTGGAAGAGCCAGGGTTTGAGGAGTCTCTGAGTAACTGCACCTTTTAACTGAGGAGCCCTCTTCTGCCTTTCAGTCTCCTCTGACCTGCAATCTCACCTTCCTCCCCCTTGCTTCCTCCCTTAGCTTATGTCCCCCCCCTGCTGTCAATTAGTCAGTTAGCTGTCAACAAGTTAGAAGTGCTGTGCCTCTTGAAAGCCCTTGCCACTCACAAAGAGGACTCTAGTGATGAATTTCTGCAGTGTGCGCGAGGTGTAATCAGATTCAATTCAGCACTCGTGGAGAGGTACGTCCAGGAGTGGGGGCTCAGACGAGGAATGATTCCCCAGTGCTTACATTCTGCAAGGGAAATGACAACTTCCTTAGAAAGTGGGAAGCAGGTGGTGTAAGTGACAAAGAGCGTGAACTTGACAGTCAGACCTGGGTGTGCATCCTGACTGCCCCTAGTAGCTCCATGGCTGTGGGTGAGTGAGGTTCACTTTCCCCACCCCCTTGAGTGGGTATAGGAGGAATCCCCACCTCATCGTTGTCAGGAGGATTAAATGAGGTCATATGTGAAGCTGCATAGCATCATGCCCGGTGCCTGACAGCTGTCCAGTACACATCAGCCTTACCAAAATAACTCTACGCACATGGTGGATACTAGAGTCCCTGGGGGAGTGGGCAGAGGGGACAGTGCTTCCTAATGGAAAATCTGAAAGGCTCTCTAGAGGAGGTGAGGTCTCAGCTGGGCATTAAAGGACTTCAAAGCAGAGGAAGAGGCAGCAGGTTGGGAAAGGACATTCTAGTTGGTAGAAACTTTGGGCAGAGTCTGGGAACATGGTGAACATAGGATGCTCAGGTGACACTCTTGGAAAGACTGCCCAGGGCCACTTGATGAAAGGCCAGGAGGGAGGAGCTTATATCTTGTAAGTGGGAAAGGGTCCTACCTATGATTCCAGTGGCTCTGCTGTGTGTCTGTGTCTCCCTCGTCTGCATAGGCCAGGCCCCTGGGGTCAGCCTTCTCCTATGGCTTTGGTCCTCCCACATCTCTTTGTTTCCTGAGGGGGGGGGCCAGCCTGCCGCTCTTGTCTGGAAGAAGAGAGAAGGCTTCTGTTGCAATCTGCTCACCTCCTACTAACATATTAGGTAGGAATTTTTTTTTTTTTTTTTTTTTTAAAGCACAGTTGCCTGGCAGGAAACCTCGGGGGAAACTCAGCGACCCTCTCTCACTAAGCAGCAGTGGAGGACGGCTGTGCTCACAGCTCAACAACCAAAAGGCTCTCAGGAAGTCAGAGCAGCAGTGGAAAGAATGGGGAAGGTGGAGTGGGTGCAGATGCCGGCTCTGGCCCCCTTCTGTCTCTGCGGAAGTTGAGCAGGACACTTTACCTCCCTAGGCCTCAGTTTCTTCATCTGTAAAATCAGAAGGACAATACTGACCTTACCTTAGCTGAATGGGCATGCACAGGGCAGACTGTTTCCCCCGCCCCCATCCCTGGCCTGCTATGGAGTAGGTCTTGTTACCCTCCTCTACTCCATATTTCAACTGGGGGTCCAAACACTGGTCCTTTGAAGCATCCCCGTTTCATCCTCTTGAGTTGCCGTGCCGTTGTTTGCTGAACCTCCAACAGTGAAATACCGTAGACCTTCGGGGCTGGAAGAAAGAATGGACTCTGTCAGTGCAGACTCCCATTTCACAGGCAAGAAGTCCAAGGCTCAGAGAGGGGAAGTCACAGCCCTCGAATGTGCCACACAGCCCCTTCGACCTGGTTTCACCTCAGTGGGAATCACACAGAAGCTTGAGACAATTACCAAGAAGGTTCCAGCCAAAGGATCTAGAAAATTCTGTCGAAGAAACACAAGGTCCTCGACCATCTGCAGAACTGAAGCAAAAAAAGCCCTCCCCCAGCCTTTTTTGCCCTTATTCTCACTGTGGTTCCGTGGGGGACAGCTTCACCAGCCTTCTCTCAGAGCTGAACTCCTCTGAACCAGCTTGCAGGGGGCGGGTGCCGAGAATGGGCTCTGAGCTCCACCGGTTCACAGATTGAAGCTACCAGGACATTTTCACACTTTGGAATACCAAAACCTGCCTTGAGGAGCCGATCTGCTCCCAAAGTGGGCTTTGACAAAGTGGTGGAGGGCTCTGCATGGTCCTGGAATCTGTGGGAACAGGCTGGTCTCAGAGTGGGGTGCAATTTAGTATGAGCAAAAGGACACTGGGGCCACAACAAGTGGCAGAATGTGGGCATGAGTGGGAGGCTGTGCGTGACCTTTCTAGGTTTCATTTTCCTCATCCATATGAAGGGGAGAACCTCCTTCCACAAGTTCTAAGAATCTGGTGGGATAATATTAGGGGGGAAAGTGTTGACCCTTGGCCAGCTGCTGCTGCTGCTGTTGGTGGTAGTGTTATCATTGCTTCAGCAAGGATTATTCAGGCAGCAGGAGGCCTGCATTTGGGGGGAAAAAACCCTAAAATCCTATCTGGGTGACACTAATCTGTGGGCAGGCAGCCTCTCCTGCTCAAAATGGTAACCATGCCAACAGTGTGAAAGCCATCTCTCTAGAATAATACCAGGTCTCCTCTGTAGTATGTCTCTTGGTGACCAGACTTCTCAGGGACCTCAGAGTGTCCCAGAGTACCCAAGGGTGTGGGGGAGACAGGATGTGTCTTTTCTGGGTCACCTATTCACTCGGCTCTGGTGGCAGGTTCTGGCATTGCTTCGGAAATCCAGTCCTGCAGGAGAAACAGTCGTTCCCCTGGCTCAGAATGGGATACAGCAAGGAATTATTCTTTCTACTGTCGTGATGGCTGGTGCCTCCCATGTGCCGCCTCCATGCAGGTGAGGAACATCTGTGCTTTGGCCGGTCCCCAACCCAAAGAAATAGGTGTGGTTGGTCCTGTTTTAGGGACTTGCCCAAAGGGATTCACCTGGTAACTGGCAGAGTAGAATTTGAAACTAAATTCAGATCCTTCTTTCCCATCACACCACTCATGTGTCCTCAGGTAGTCAGGGGCAGGTTGCTGTGTTCCCTGAGCGAGATTCTGTACTGGACGGAAACACACTGAGGTTTTGCTCTGAGCTCTGAGCAACATCTTGATTGGGTTCAGGGCCTTTCTCTGAAGTTGTTCAAAGAGAACAACTTTATTGATGGGACTTAGAGCCCTGGGAGTAGATGTCCCTCCCATCCAAGGTAGCTGTCCTGGGGCTTGAGTTGGCAGCCCTTTCCAAAGGGTGAAGATGGGTGCCGGTCAGAGAGTGTAGTCTCCAGGTAGGAAGGCTTGTTTGTACTGTTTACAATCTAAATGACTCTGGAGGGGAGTCACACCGTGAGCCCATCTCAGCTAACACCAAAGGCAGTGTTGGACCATCAGGTTTGGGAATCTGTTACCAGCTCTTGACTAGTCAAATCATGAAACATTTAAAAAAAAATTTATTTTTTATTACATTCAGTTAGCCAACATATAGTACATCATTAATTTTTGATGTAGTGGTCAACAATTCATTAGTTGCATATAACACCCCAAATCATGGAACATTTTTGAGCCAGTTTCCCCATCGTAAGATGGAAATGGACATTGTACTTACCTTGCAGGGGGGAATTTTGAGGGAAAAAAAATATACCCATTTCTGCAAAACTCCTTGCCCAGAGCTGGGAATATGGGATATGTTCCCTCAAGAGTGGGTGTGGATGGAGTCACCCAGGATAGGACAGAGCAAGAAAAGCAGAGGGCCTGGGGAAGAAACCCAGTATTTCAGGGTAGGCCAAGAAGACAAGCCCACACGGAGACCAGAGAAGGGGAATAGCAAGCCAGGAGGGTGCAGTGTCATGAAATCTTAGAGGAGATTCTGTCTAGGAAGGGAGAGCAGTTGTGCCCAGTGTAGTCAAGAGGGCCAGGAAGGTGAGAACTATGAAATGACCTTGGACTGACAACAGGAGGCTACTTACTGGTGGCCACAGTGAGAGCTGTCTAGGTGAAGGACTAGGGGCAGACAGACCCAGAGTACACTGGACTGAGAAGTGGATGGGATGTGAGGAAGTAGAGACAATGAACTTTGGTAAGAAGGAAAGAAAAGCTTCATGGGAGAACCAAAGTGTCCCCCATTGACATTTATTAGAATTCAAATGCCCTGATCTACCTAATTTTCACTGTTTTTTTTGTTTTGTTTTGTTTTGTTTTTTAGTTAGTATACTTTAAAAAAAAAGATTTTATTTATTCATTTGACAGAGAAATCACAAGTAGGCAGAGAGGCAGAGAGAGAGAAGGGGGGAAAGCAGGCTCCCTGCTGAGCAGAGAGCCCTATATGGGACTCGATCCCAGGACCCTGAGATCATGACCTGAGCCGAAGGTAGGGGCTTATCCCACTGAGCCACCCAGGTGCCCCAATTTTCACTGCTTTGAAATCAGTCTAAGTCCCACATGATCAGACAAGCTAGAAGGGTTCTAATTTCTCTAAGGGCTGGAAGGAACCATAAAAATCTCTCCCAGCGCTTGCCCTCCTCCCACCTCTCACTGGAACCCCATTTTCATAGAGGCGGGGTGGACAATTAATTATCATCTATCATGCTCTTTAAAGATATCCACCAGGGGAAAGATCAGCCTGGTTTGTTAACCTCAATTCCATTTGTAGTTAGCAAAGGTGACCCTTCAAAGCATGGTGAAAACTGCGGTGGGGGCCTCCTCTCAGACTCACACTGAAATCCTGTTTCACAGTTACTGAGGTCCTCATTTTAGCCTCAAAGCAGGGAGATAAAGGCCAAGAGACAGGAGACCTAGTATGGAGACCCCACCTCTGCTCACTCACTGTGCAAACTGGGGCTAGCCTCTCCTCCTCCTCAGATCTCGGTTTCTCCTTATATGGGATAAAGGGTTGGATGACAGTGACTCTAATTGTCCTGCCACCTTGGACGTTTCCGGATTTCTATTCTACGATGCATTTAACAGTACTCCAATTGTTGGATGGTAAAACTAAGAAACTAAGGTCCAGTCCCTCCCTTCTCCCTTCAAATGCATCTTACTCTCCAGAGCAAGATTCCTGGCTTGAAATGGGACTTCCACTCCTCTTCTGGTTCCCAGTTAAGGATAATGACTCAAATCTTCAAGTTATCATTTAAAACACTCCATTATCTTGTTTTGCCCAACCTCATTTCCCACTGCCAGGCCTTTCTTCTGTCTCTCAGATTTTGTTTCTGTCCTCACTGCTAAGTCTTTGTCTGTGCCGGACCCCACTCCCTAAGACCTTTTCCCTGACTTTCATCTCCCTCAAAGTCTAGCTTACCTGCACTTGCATATTTAGATCTGGCTTATGAGACAAGAGAATATATCTTAATTATTCTGTAGCTACTCCTCCCCCCAGTGCTGAGCATGCAATAAAATTCTCAAAGAGCCTAAGGTCTTTCCTTCTGTGCTGCCCTTGGTATGTTGTACTCAAGTGGGGCTATGTTTCAGTCCTTGGGATTTTCCTAGTTCATCTGAGGCCCAGCTCAAGGCCTGGCATGAGGGACCCTCAGCATAGAATGCGACAGCTGGGATGGCTTAGTGACCAGTCAGCCCATCCGCCCCCCCACCCCTTGCCACAGAAGGAAGTTCAGCTTGGGTTTGAACTCAGATCCGGGCTCCACCACTTAGGGGCTTTGTAACCTTGAGTAAGTCACTAATCTGGCTTTGAAAAATGGGGAGACCAGCTGTGCCCACCTGCGGGGTGGGTTGTGAGGATTAATTATGTTTATGCCTATACATGCCTAGCGCTGGACCGGCTTATAGTCCATATGTTATGTTACTCATCCCAGTCAGGCCAACCTGTCCCTCCTCTTGTGGAAGGCACAGTACGCCCAAAGTCCCTTGTCAGGGTGGGAGCACAGCTCTGCAGACCGGTGGGTGTGAAATGCGTGTTTGGGAGTGGAGGTGGGGTGCTGTCCCCAAAGTCCGGACCGATAATGCCTTGGCCAGTACGGATCCAAGCGCAGGGTGCGTCTCCAAGGAGCGCATGGGCCAGACTGGGGTCGAAGCTGGCAGGACGGCGAAGGCGGTCCCGGCCCGCCCCCCGGGGCGCACGGCCTCCTGCCTTCTCCAAACAGAAGGGTTATTTGATTTTTGGGTCCACCTGGAGCCAGACCTCCAACCTGGCCTCAGAGATGCGCTTCAAGGAGGAGCTGTGCCACTAAGCTACCTACGCAATCGCCATCACCGCGCCCGTTCCTGGGGATCCGCAGTCCCCACCCCACTTTTTCTTGTCCCACCTCCACCTCTGCGGCGGTATGCAGCACTGACAGGGCGCCTGCGCAGTTCTCGGGCGGGGCAGCAGCGGCGGCGGCGGCAGCTATTTATAGTAGGTGACGTCACCTTGAAATAGACCGTTAGGGCCGGCCCGCCCTTCCCCCCTCCCACTCCGGTCGCTCCCCGCCGCCAGGCCCGGCTGCTCCCACTGCGCAGGCGTCCTCCATCCTCCCATCCCCCGCCGCGGACGCCTCTCCTCCCTCGCGTCCGCGGCGCGAGCCACAGCGTGCGGGGCGAGCCAGCGAGAGGGCGGGAGCCGCGGCAGAGCCTGCAGTCTGCAGCCTTGGGCCGGCCGGCGAGCCAGTGCGCGTGCGCGGCGGCGGCCTCCGCGGCGACCAGGGAGCGGACGCAGGGCGAGCGAGCAGGCAGGCGAGCGGTGCGGGCGCCAGGCGAGGCCGAGCCACGAGCGACATGGGGGACCGAGAGCAGCTGCTGCAGCGGGCGCGGCTGGCCGAGCAGGCGGAGCGCTACGACGACATGGCCTCCGCCATGAAGGCGGTGAGCGCGCCGGGAGGCCCGGTTGGCCGGCTGGGGATCCCGGCGTAGGGAAGGGATGGGCGGCCGGGCGGCATCTCCCTCCCGGCCCGGAGCGACCCCG